ACATCTCTGGCAATGTTTGTATCCTCATTAAAACAAACAAAGTGCAACAAACTCCCCAAAACTTGATTTCTGAAGATTTCAGAGTCCTTTGGGAAAACTTTTGCCGTAAGCAATGGGGTCCCCTATACTCCATCCTGCCCCCCTTAGGTGGCTCCTGGGGTCCATAGCTGACCTTTATGAAGAGGCCTGTGGCTCTAGGGGCCCTGAGAGGTCATTTGACTACTTGAGGCATTAGGAGAAAATGCCTCTGATTTAGTGCAAAGCCTTCGGAATGTATTATCCCTGTGCCTCTTGGGGGAGCAGGTCAGGTGATATTCCAGACACCACACCTCTTGGAACCTCCAGCTCCTGGGTCTGTATCTATACACAGTAGGCTCTTCATACGATGGGGCAAAGGGTCAGAGCCATTCATTTGGCTTGTCCCGGGTCACACAGTATGTCGGAGATGGGGCTGGAGGAGAACATGCTCCAAACTGTTCCACCCCAATGCCCCAGAGTCTCCAGGAATGTCACCCAGTCTGTCATGGAGGGCAGCGACTATGTGCCTTGTTCCAAGGAGGAGATGAAGGGATCCCGAATTCGAGACCTGCACTTGCAGGGCTGCACATGCCCAGAGGGGGCGCTGTTGTCTTAAAGAGCCTCCCCGCACCCCCACCCCCACCCCAACCCACAACGGTGCGCATGTGCTGGCAGCGGACCCAGAGAGGGCACTACAGGGAGGGCTCCATGTTAGCTCATGGGCTGTCTCTGCTTCTCTGTGTTGCCTCAACCTAAGTCCTGTAAATAAAAACACATCCTCAGGTGACCTGTACTTTATAAAGGACTGTTGTCGTCCCAGCCTGTCTGTGGGCCCTAAAGTCCAAGTGCACCTTTCTCTTGGAGATTTGGAAGCAAATCCAGAATGTCTGCTTGGCTGCTGGGCCTTCTTTCTGCAAGAGAAGCTGTGAGTGTGAGGGGCTTGTGTGGGCTCGGATTGCTGGCTTTGCTGTGTAGAACGTGAAGGTCATTCTACCTCTGGGAGTCGGAGACCATCTCGCTGACAGACCCAAATTAAGAACAGTTAATTCCATGTGTTGGTTTTAAGGTTGGCTGGGAATTTTAATGAGAAACGTTACTCCCCTGCATACTGGTCAACCGGATGTGCCTTCCTCTCCTTCTTTGTCATTGTTCACTTACTGACTGAGCACCTACTGTGTGCAGTACTGGGCCAGGTACCAGGAGCCATGGTGAGCAAAGATCAACACAGGTCTGCCCTTGTGGGACTACGTTCCGTCCTATTTCAGTGATGATGATTCAGACAGGTTCTCCCCCTCCTTCCCTCCCCCCTGCCTCCCTCCTCCAGTCCCTTCATCTCTCCCCACCTCCTCACTCCCCTCCCCGCTTCCTCCTGGACCCCTCTGCTCAGCCCCTCGGGACAGAGTCCAGCTGCACCGTGGGCAGAGGACAGGGGCCCTCAGAGAGGAATGGAGGGGCTGACTGCCCAGTCCCTGGCTGTGTAACTGCTTGTCAGAAGGGTTGGAGTTTGAGGGTGGCCAGAGGACCTTGTCATCCATGCAAGTCTGTTCTTGAAGGAGCCTCCGCTGGGGCCTGTGCCCCTTTCTGTGTTGGCTTATTTTTTGCAGAAGACACCTTTTAAAAGCCCAGGTGTTAATTTTTCGGTCTCCTCTCCCCAGTGGCAAGAATCCAACAGGAGGCCTTTCGGGGCCAGAGCACAAAAGGCAGCCCCCAGCTTCCTGCCTCCTTGGGAGCAAAGCTGGGAGCCGGGCTGGCTCAGCAGCTGCCATGGGCTGGAGTAGTCAGACTGGGCCACAGGCCTGGGAGACTTCAGTTCACAGCTGAGATGTGGGGAAGCAGGCAGTGGGAATGGGCTCTTTACTGCCCTCTGAGACTCAGCCCTCCCTCCCGCCCAGGCTCCCTGCCCTCGCCCTTGGCACTTTCCAGATCCAGGGCCTTCTCTATATCACATCTCCAGCCTTCCTGGGATATAAGCCTCTGTCAATCCCCAAATTATTTTGAGGGCACCCGCCACTAATGCCAGGGGTGTGGATCCTGAAGCAGGTAGGGGGAGCAGGGAAGAGTCCTAGCCCACAGTGAGCCCTTGTGCCCTGGTGACCCTGGGGTTCTGGAATGGGTGTGGGCAGGGGTGGGGGTGGGGCCTCAGAATCCTCCCCCTCTGCCTGCCTCCCTGCAGTGGGAGGGGCGAGGAGCCCTCGCAGATTGCAGGGCAGCAGTGGGAGGCCCCTGCCTGCCTCCTGCGCAGGGTGTGCTCTGGCAAAGCCTGGAACCACGGGTGCCTGGCACCGAGCTTGGTACATGGTCGGGCGCAAGAAATATAATTCCGAGAATGAGGAAGACGCAGATCGCTCCTGTGACCTAGCCAACCCTTTTGCCTCAGAGCCCAGAGTCCGAGATGACAGGCTATAGCCTTGACCCTGAGCCTGGCCCTGGGCAGGCTTGGCCTTCTGCTCTTTTCTTTTTGCCTTATCAACCGAGCCAACCTTGTGGGCCTTGAGAGAGGCATCCTGGCGACTTCATTGCTTGGCCTTTTGCCTCCACCCACGCTGGGCTCCGTGGGCAGGATGGGACCAGTTCCTTCCCCTGGCATCCCGGGAGCTGGGGCACCCCATCTGGGTGAGCCCTGTGGTCCCTGAAACTGCGGGCCTGGCTTCTGCTCTGTGGATGATGGATGGTGTTTCCTACTGTGGAGTGAGGGAAAATGTGCCGCTGCAATCAGGGACAAGCTATTAGATAATCTCCCATTCAGCTCGGGTGGAGGAAAACAAATGAAGTGGGGAGAGGGGCCCCCCTCGGGCCCTGGCCCTGCTCTCGGCAGGCACTTCATGTGCGGCAGAGTTAGGGCGCCAGGTGGGTGGGGGATGCGGAGGCATTTGCCCCTGGAGAAGGTGGCCTGGATTTGGGGATAGTCCATAACGATCAGGGTGCTGGGGACTGGAGGAGTGTGGGGGCATCCCTTGGATTCTTATTGCCTGTACCCCCTATTTTTGCACCCTTTCCTTTGTCACTTTCTTTCCCGGGTTTAGGTACCGGGGACACGGGCTGTGGTGCCTGGCTGGGCAGCATCCACAGCCCTACGTGGCTCCTGTTCCAGCGGGTCTGGTAGAAAATGAACACCAGCCCTTGCCTTTTAGGCTGGCTGCTGAGAATCAAGCGTTTAGTTGTAAGAGAAGCCAGCCTACCTGCCTTCTAGCCCCGCCACTGGGGTTACCACCTGGAGCCGCCTCTACCTGGGCTCCCTCCACTTCCGCCTGAGCCCCTCTTTCTCCCCCAGCCCCTCCCCCAGCCAGCCCTCTCATTGCATTTAGCCCACTGACCTAGGAGAATCAGATCACACACTTGTTTCTCCCCTTGAAAAGTGGCCTGTGGAGCTCAGGGCTGTTCCTGGCCTCTCCCATGCCCAGCTCCTGGCTCTGTGCATGGCACGGATGGTCACTGGAAAGGCACATGTGCCCAGGCATGTCTCTACAGTTGGCAGCGCTCTGTGAGTTTGGCCCTGCCATTTGGGATGGGGCAGTGCTCCCTTAAGTAACCAGATTTTAGAAAAATAAAAAAACTGGTAATTTTTTCTTTATTATTTTAAAAAATCTCTGTTGTGAGATTTCTGGGGATGCGCCAATGGGGGCCTTTCCACTGGGGGTGGGGTGGGGCAGAGCTCAACCATTCCCTGGACAACATGATCTCACAACCCTGGCCCAAAGCCAGTCTCTGCAGGATGAGCAGAATGGATCCCCTAAATGGTTTTGTGTCCTGTTTGCCTGATGGCACACACACTCGGTTAGAGTAAATTAAGCAAAAAAAAAAAATTCAAGGCCCAGGTGCCTCCTACCCCTGCAAAACCCAACCGGACACCACCAACAAAATGAACAGAAACAACCAGCTCCCTTCTGTTTCCTGGGAATTCCTGCTCTAGAGACTGACACGGGAGGCTATTCTAAGTAAACCTAAGAGTGTGAAACAGGAGAATAAAAGGTGGGGGGGGGTTCTTTCATTCATTCATTTATTCACTCGATGAATACTGAGTGAGCTCCAACGATGTGCCAGGCGTGTTCCAGGCCCTGGAGATGGAGTTGAATAAAACAGATCAAGTGCCCGCAGGACGCTGGCATTCCGGGGTGGGGGAGGGGCAAAGAAAGACCACAGGAAACAAGCGCATTTGTGTGACACCAGATTCGATAATTTCTGGGAAATTATCCGTGTAACAGCTGGTGCAAAGGCTTGATGTAGGGGGGATGCAGGTGCTTGAGTGTGGAGGGACAGCCAGGAGGCCCAGGGGCTGCAGGGGGTGGGGAATGGTTGGAGGAGGGGCCAGTGGTGCAGCAGGAGGCCAGACTGCTTAGGGTCCTGTGGGTAGAGGAGGATTTACCATGAAGTTATGCAGCCATGGGCCCCGTGTAAGACCCTGCATCTTACTTTTGCATCCACCATCTTGTCTTATTTTCTTAGAAAGCCCCCTGAATCATATACACTTCAGAGTCCCCAAACCTGGATTGACCCGGCTTGCAGGCAAATCTGGGTGTTTCCTCCCAGTGAAGTAGGACACCTTTGGAGGGATGCCTCAGGAGAGTGAAATCACCTGAGGAATCTGTTAAAAAGAGAGGGACAAGGCACTTGCCGCGGTGGTGGCAGGGATAGGTCCTGGAATCTGAACTGGGTGAGACGGCAAGTAAGAGCAGGAGAGGGCATGAGACAAGGTGGTTTGGGACCAGCACAGAGGGATCAAAGAATTGCAGGGCTCAGGGCTCCACAGCAAGAGAGCTGGGCAAGCAGCAGAGGACGTCGCACCCCAGGCAGCAGTCGGGTTCTAATGATTTGTTTTCCACAAGGTTCCCCTTATTCCCCTGGGGTGTGATCCCTGGTGGCAACCAACTGGCCTTGAAGCTGCTCTCTCTTCTCTTGTTTATTAACACCAATGTTTGATTCATATCAAAAAACGGATGTTTGCTCCAAAGGCATTTAACCTTTTTTCTTTTCTTTTCCTTCAGGTTGGAAGCCTGTCTCTGAGATCCTGAAGCTTTTCCTGCTGGTACTCGCCTTCCCTAGTAACCCTCCACCCCAAGAGAGTTCCAGAAAGAACCCCAGGGGGCCTCCTTGCTACCGCACAACAGACCTCACCTTCCACTACCAGGTAAGGCGCCACCTGCCCACCACACCCATCCTCGGAGTTTGCATTTGTGGTGGAAAAACATCTTAATGCGGCGATTTTATTTTACATGAGGGAATTGAAGGGACCTTCTTCTGCTGGCTCTGGTTTGCTGATTGTGGTGTCTTCTGTGGCTTCAGGGAGTAGGATAGGGAGAATCAGCAGATCCCCAGGAATGCCTTGGGTGGGATTTTGTAAGGAGTGGCTGCTGAAATCCATCAGCCTGGCCGCGAAGTTGTTATCCCAGGAAGGAAGGTGGACAGGGTGTGTGTCCATTGTCCAGTGTCAGCACAAAATGCCTAGAGGCCAAGGTCGGGGTCTGACCCTCCCCTGCACGGTTCCGTGTCCTGCTGCGCACATTCCCCTGTAACCAGTGATGGGCTCTGATGCCTTCATCGGGCTCTAGAGGGCACTCAGTGATTGCCCTGTTCCCCCCTCCAGTGGCTGGACTGTACTTCAACCCTGGCACTCGCCACCTAGAGTTATTGGCAGACCCCAGAGGCTTAGGGGCCGTCCTCCCACAAGACTGCCCCACTTCAGCTGCAAGTCTCAGGGCCACTTGCACTTCTGACCACTGGCTACAAATTCGAGGGTTCCTACAACCCCCTCAGTTTTGATCATTTGCTGGAACAGCTTGCAGAACTCAAGAAAGTGCTATACTTACAATTAGTTTTATTATATAAAGATACACATAGGAGGGGTCTGGGAGGGTGCCGGACAGACTTGGAGCTTCATGCCCTCTCCCGATAGAGTTAGGGCAGCTCACCCTCCCAGAACATCCATGGTTTATCAACCACCAAGGTCCCGAGCTTTGGGTGTCCAGAGTTTTACTGGGGTCTTATTATGTCATTGGCCACGTGGTTGAACTCAGTCTTTAGCAACTCTTCCCTCCCCTGAGGTGGGAAGTGAAAATACCAAACCTCTAACCAGTACCCCTTCCTTGAAGCTATCTGAGGGTCTACCTGAGCCACCTGGTTAGCATAAAGTCAGCTGTGGTCTGAAGGGACTTGAATAACAAAAGGCACTCCCATCTTTCAGGAATTCCACAGGTTTTAGAGGTTACCTCTCAGGTACCAGGGACAGAAACCAGAAAAATTCGTTATTACACCCGTGCAGCCCCGCTCCCTGCTGAGAAAATGCGCAAAGCTGGTGGGTCCATGTCATCCAGGGCAGGAAAGACCAGAGCCCCCATACCCTGTAATCGGAAAGATGCCAACAAGAATTCTGGGCAAAGAGACCAGAACACAGGCTGGTCTCTCTAATGCTCCTTAAGAGATGCCCATTTTAGAATCCGTGGAATCAGATTCTACAGACGACACTGGTGGATCTCCAGGAATGCACTGCTTGTGTTCTTTTCGTGATGCAAATTGATTATCTTCCTGCCTCAGAGCATTTGGGTCCTTCTCTTCAGTGGGCTGGTGGGTCCACTGACTGGTCTGCATTCAGTCATCCAACCATTCCTGAGCCCCTCCAGGTGCTGAGCCCTGGTGTGGGTCTGGAGGTGCAGTGGAGACACACCAAGTTCTTGCCCTTGTAGTGTTTGTCTTCTAGCGGGGACGTGGAGGGTAAACATGCTTATCTAGAGCAACAGGGACACGGCTGTGAAGAAGGTGAGGTGGGCGGGGGTGATTGAGAGGCGTGGAGGCTGCTGAGCATACAGGCGGCCAGGGCGGGCCCTGGTGCTGGCGTGAGCAGAGGCTGAAGGAGGTGACCTGGCAGGGCTCTGAGGGCAGAGGTCCAGGCGGGGCAGCGGCAAATACAAAGGCCTTGAGGCAGTGACGCACAGGCACATTGGAGAAGCAGCAGGAAGGCCGGTCTGCCAGGGTGGAGTGGGTGAGCAGGGCATGGAAGGAGGTGAGGTAGAGAGTGACCAGGCTACGTTCAGAAGCTTTTAGGTCAGGGTTAAGGATTTTGTCTTAAGGATGGTAGGAGCCATTGAAGGGCTCTGAGCAAGGGATGAATGACCTGATTTGAGTTGTATGAAGGTGACGTTGCCTTCTGGGTGGGGGACAAACAGGGAAGGGAGGTCAGAGCAGAAGCAGGGGGACCAGCAAGGAGGATGCTCCTTCTCCCAGGGAGGGGTGACCGTGCCGTGGACCTGGGATGAGAAAGGTGTGGGTCTGGGGACGTGTTGGAGATGAGTATGTTGAACAACCCCTCTTCTACGCGGAAATCATGCTGTCATTCCGTTCCCTAAACCACTGGAGACCACTTAGAGAGCCCGGAAAGGAAGAACATATGCCCCAGACCACACTGGGACAGAGGGGCAAGTCCTCATGACCGATCAGAAAGTCTCAATCCCCCAGGACCTTCTGAAGCTTCCTCTCTGGGGCTCCTCACAGCGTTGCCGTAAAACCAGTGCCAGGGCGCCATCCTCCGCAGCCCCTTCGTCACTGCACGCACCGAGATACCAGCCTTGCCAGCTCTCTGAAGCACCCTCACTGGACACATGATTTGGGGCTGGCCTCAGTGTAAGCCAAATAACCCCTAGGGTCATGCACCATCCCCTTAACCTCAGGCTCCTGGTTCTGAGCAAGTGCACCTGGCTCTGTCCCTGGGGGAAGGGCAGCAGAGTGCCCACATCCTGAGGGCAGGTGACTGTGGATCAGCTCTGTGATCTCTCGGAGGGTACTTCTCCTTGCTGCCTCCTTGAAGGAAGTTGCAGGCCCCAGCCTCACCTTTCTGTGGGTTTGAGAACGAGCATTCTCCTCAGAAGGTAAATCCTTGGTGTTGTGGAAGCTGAAAGCACTAGACTGGCCGATCCCGATGGCAGGGCCGGGAATTTGGGGCTCAGAGGAGTGGCTACGCAAGCTCCTTTCCACCCGGAGCGGCTTCTGGGTACACACGCCCTTTCTGTCCCCTTGTGGCTTCCGAAGGCATGCTTGAAGTTATGAAATAGGGAATGTGCATCAAGGGTCTTCTCCCTTCCAGTGGGGTGAAGTCCAGGGGAGAGAAGCATCAAAGAGAAGACCCTCACGTCCCGTTCACCCTGAGCAGCATTGAAGCCTGCAGAGGCAGCTGGGCTCTGTGTATCACCTTCTGATCACCTTCAGGTGGGTGGTGGGTCTGAAGGGAGAGGGCCAGGCACATTGATCAGCGGTCAGGCGTGCCGGCTGCTGAGCCCCTGCAGACACCCTCCCACCCAGTGGCGGTGCCCCCACTCTCCCCAGTGGGATCCAGATGCAGACTTCAGAGGGGGCTGCCAAACCCACCTTCCAGGTGCCCGCATGCTTCCAGAGCTGAGGTCTGAAAAGAAAATGAGGCATGGGGCAGCAGGCATCCCATCTGGTTTCTCTCCCCCAGGGGCCCCCTCATCCGTGACTTAATCACCAGCAGCAGGAACAGGCGTTTTGGAGACAAGTCGACCTGGGGGATGGAGGTTTGGGGGATGACGGTGCTGGGGAGAGGCGCCAACACAGGCACGTATGGAGCCCCTGCGTATATACGTCTTCCATGCCCTCTCGCAGTGGAAGGTTGCCTGGAGAAAGTGCTCCCTAGGGGTACTCTGGGATCAGTGATGGAGAAACTGCACGGAAGGACACGCAGGAGCTTCTGCTCTGGTGAACGGGCTGTTCCATCTCCTGTCGCATGTGGGACTGTCTAGTGTAGCTCTCCATCACTGCAGACGCATCCTTGATGGAGCCCTGGGGTCAGGTGGGGGCAGGAAGGGGTCAGAGGAGGGCACGGGAGGAAGCTGTTTCCTCCCAAGACATTGTTCCATCCCTGGCTCCCTTCCTCTGCCTTGGAAAGGGTCCCATAAATTAGATCCCATTCTGAGGCTCAACCTTTAAATATGGATTTGATTTGGATTTTACTGTAAGTTCTGAGTCCTTATTAAAAATATGGGTGGAAATTTATCTGCTGCAAAATGAGATTTGTCTCTTATGTGCAGAGGCAGAAGCCGGGGGCAGATGGGTGCTCCAGACCAACGGGGCAGGACCCGCCTGCCAGTATCCAGAACAGAAACTCGCAGTGGGCATCACACACTCTTCTATCCGCGAACCTCCCCTTTCTCTCTCCCCTCCCCGTCGCCACTCTCATTGGACGGTCTGACTCCTTCCAACCCTCGGTGCTGTGCGTCACGGTCACTCAGACAGAGCAGAGGGCACAGCTGGCTGTTCCTTCTCCAGATGTTTTTTGGGGTGGGGGAGCACCTTTGTTCTGGAGCTGAGAGATGGACAAAGCCTTCTGCTCTGACCTCTGGCCCCTCAGAGGGTGCTCCTAAAACCTGCAGGGGCGAGAGAAAGGGAAAGTCCACACCCAAGAAGAATGGCTTTGGGCTGGGCCAGTCGCACTTTTTCAAGTACAGGGGAGAGCGTGTGGCCGAAGCGGGGCCTGCCCCACGCGTGTTGGGTCAGGCATGAGCATGTCGTGGCTGTGCAGCTGGCACTTCAGGCTGTTGTCCCCCCACCCCCCCCCGCCAACGATATTAGAACCCATCTGTCTACCCCAGTTCCCACCCTAGGGGATGGACCCCTGAGCGGCAACATGCGACTTCCCATAAATCATTCCCGAATGAGCGTGCTTCCTGCATCATCCATCACGCTCGTCTCTTGTCTGCTTGTTTTTAAAAGCTGTTAAACTGGAATCCATCACATGGCACCCTCGGGGGGCCAAGCCGTAGCAAAGCCTGCCCGCATCAGCAATATTAATGCACACAGAGCTTTCTAGAGCATCGAGGTAAATGTCTCCCCGGTGGTGGGGAGAGGGAGAGCGTGACTTTATCTAGTTACACCAGAAGCTAATGGGATGTTTCTCTGACACTTGCAGTTATTACATTCCTGCCACGCATGAGGAAGTCCCGGTGGCTGCTGGGTGGAACAGGTAATACGCACCTGAACGATGAGGCTGGTGTTTCTCCCTTCTTGCAGAGGCGTCTTATTTGCTTCTCATGCCTGATATTTTAATTTGAAGACTTTAGCTTGAGCCAGCTTTTGAAAGGAAAGATGAGTCTTTCTAGAAATACCTGTGGTTGCTCTTCTGTT